AACAATCAGGTATAGAAACATACAACAGGGTTCTTCATTTCAGACAAAGCTTTCTTAGCATGCTCCTTATTTGCAAACTTCACAAAAGCATAGCCTTTGTTTTTATTTGTTGAAGAATTTTTATGCAACCTAACTTCAACTATCTCCCCAATCCTCTGAAAAACCTTTCTCAGATCTTCCTCTGTAGCATCACGATCCAACCCACCAACAAAAATCTCATGCTCTTTTTTAATCTTTCGCTGATTTGCAATGGCCTCCAATTCCCTATGCTCCTCCTCCAATGCGTCAGTTTCTTCTGGATGTTCTTCTGGATCTTCCTCCGGATCTTCTTCAGCAAGCTCCACCTTCCCTTGTTCTCGAATATCTAAATTTTCACCACTCTTTGGTCCTTCACCACCATCTTTAATGGCATTCGCATCTTCTGTTTGCATCTGGGCTTTCACTTCTACACCAAGAGACTCAGTGTTCTCTTCATTTCCAAAATGGTTTGTTTCCTCTCCCTTTGCTTTCTCTGGATCCCACGCTTTCAACTTTCCTTTGTTTGCTTCCTGTTCTTTCAATTTAACATTTCCTTTATGTCCTTCTTGTTCTATCAACTCTTCTTTACCTTTCTCTCCTTCCCGTTCTATCAATACTTCCTTACATTCCTCGCCTTCTATTCCTTTTAACTCTTCCTTACCTTTCTCTCCATCAAGTTCTTTCAACTCTTCCTTACCTTCCTCCACATCCAGTTCGTTCAACTCTCCCATTCCTTCCTCCCCATCCAGTTCTTTCAACTCTCCAATTCCTTTGTCTCCTTCCAGTTCTTTCAACTCTTCCTTTCCTTTGTCTCCTACATGCACTTTCACCTCTTCCTTCCCTTCATCTCCTTCCTGTTCTTTCAACTTCTCCTTTCCTTTCCCTCCCTCCTTTTCACCAGTACAATCTTCATTATCTGCAGATATATTGAGGTCCATAATGGGCCGCCCTGGTCGCTGAAAAGAAACAGAAACATCCTGTGAAGCAGTTACTTCAACTTCCATTATGTCATTTCCCTTTTCAACAACAGGTTCGTCCACTTCCATCGACTTCAAGTCCTTCTCGTCAGAAAACCCAACACCTTGTTCCCCCTCTTTCTCACCCTCAATATTAACAGCATCTACAACTTCAACATCTTCCACTTTATCAGCAGACTCGGTTTTATCTTGAACTGGAGTTTCATCAGCCACTGCCTCACATTGTTCTTCCAAATTCGGACTATCAATTGCTTTAACTCTAGGTCTCCCTGGAGCCTTCTTTTTCGCAATTTTTGTACTGCTACCACTACCTAACTGTTTCTGCTCTACTGTTATAAATATTTCAAGAACAAATAAGATTAAATAAATAGTACTGAAAAATAAATCAACAGTTTCAAACAAGGACAGGCCGAAAATAAATAGAAATTACAGCACAAGCATAAAAGAACAAATCAATTCCCAAGTACTACATCATAGATGAAACAAACTTGAAACCCTGAACATAGGGGTTTCATGTAAGTCTTACTTTTTTTCCTTCTCAAACTAAGCTTTCGGAAACGAAAAAAAATAAAAAATAAAAAATAAACGCTTACGAGGAGATTGATCAGGACTAGAATTGGTTGCGGCCGAGACCTCCTTCTTCTTGGCGCTTCTGGTCTTGGTGGCGACGGTGCGCTTCGCCGCAGGGGATTTCCTAGCCGGTGGCGTCTTCTTAGGGGTTGCGGATTTGGAAGCGGAATCAGCATTTCGTGTTCTCATGGTTGAAAATATTCAATAATGAATTAATCGCCGTTGATCCAATGAACGAGAACTAAACCTACTCAATCAGAACTGAAGTGAAGTCACCAGTTCCCAATGCTTCGAAGATGACCAATTTCTCGAATCGAATGGAGGGTGAAGAGAATTGGAATTCAGCCCCGACCCCCCTGCCCTCTTAGCACATGTCAAGAATAAAAATATTGAAATATAAATTAAAAACTAGAAAAGTGTGGTTTTTATAAGGAAATTTTGATAACAAAAATTATAAATATACAAATTACAATTTTAAAATAATAATATTTTTGTTATTTAATAAAAAATAGATAAATAATAATATAAAAAAATTTATTATTGTCTCTAACCAAAAAAAATGTGATTATGATAGAGAAAATTTGTAAAAAAAAATCTTAATAATGAAATCAAACTCATTTAAAGTAAAATAAGACATTATGAGAATGCCTTTATATTGAAAATTATAAACTTGTTACTTTTAGTTTTGGTTATTATCGTTTAAGTATAATTTTAATTTATAAAATTTCTGACATTATTATGTCGTTATTTTTACTTATCAGCTTTTAATAATAGTAATTTATAGTGTACTAATACGTTATAATATTTTTTTCTTGTTAAACTTAATTTGATATATTTAATAATATTTTATTATTATTTTTATGAAAAAGTAAAATAAATTATAAATAGAGATTAAATCAATATAGCTATAGCTAAATTAACGTGAGAAATTGTAAATATCATCTATAAGAGGAAAAAACGAGTTTTTACTAATCATATATTTAGTTCTAAAAATAACAAGATAAATAATTGAAATATTATTTTTAACAGTGATTAATATTATATATATTAAATAAAAAAATTTATAAAAATACAAATCAAATTAAAAAGTTTCATATAATTATTCTCAGTTTTAAAGTAATTTATCTCATATAATATATAATACAAAATGGGTTAGTCTATCCCGACCCGCCAAAAATGGGACTGAGCGAGCTAATCCGTTATAGTCATAGTGAGCTATAGATTTTGGTCCGTGGCATTAAAGGATTGATTAGCGGATCTGGTTCATCATATATTTTTATTTTATTTTATTTTACTATTTTTAAATCAAATATTTTAATAAATTTAATAATAAAATTATCATTGTCATCATTTATATATATATATATATATATATATATATTTCAAGTTAATAATATAAATTGATATATTATTTTAATAAATTATATTTTAGAATAATTAAATTAAGATAAATTTTATATAATAATAAATACATGTATGTAACATAAAAAAAGTATGTAACAAATATAAAAGAGAGTAAAAAAGTATGAGATATATATTATTTTTATCTTATGAAAAAGGATGAGCAAGAAGGAGATGATGAGTAAGACAAGAGAGAAGTTTGTGTTTGAGAAATGAAAGTGTTTCCCGTAATGTGAGTTTAAGTAATTATAAAACTTTTTTTAATTATTTAAGTAGTGAGATACTGATACTTTATGAATCTGAGACATTGAAACTTTTAAAATTTTTTCTTCATAAATCTTTATATTATATATTGTTTTTCTAACTATTTGTATTGTATCACAATAAAAAAAATTATTAGTAAAGAGAGTCGCGGGCTGGTCCACCCCGTCTCGCAGGTTGACGAGTTTGGCAGGACGGGGCAAAACAGACTGATGAGTTGAAAGTACTAATCTGCCTTGCTATATTATGGCGGACCGGCCTACCAGACCTGACCTATTTTGTTGTTCCAACTATTTAGTGTAAATCCATAAATTTTTTTAATAAAGGTTATCCCCCAATTTTTCTAAATATGGACAATGTGGAAATTTATCTTAACTTATTAAAGTGGACAATGTTAAGTAAGAGGTCTTATCACATAAAATATCAAAATTTTTCTAGCACTTTTAAGTTTTCATACATTATTCTAAATAAGTTCATATCTTAAGTGTGGTTGAGAATTCACTTATAACCCAATTTTGTTTTCCTTGGGCTTGTCTTAATAAATTACAACATCATCACCTAAAAGGTTTTAATGGATGTTAATAGCATTAATGGTGCTGACTTGTGTTGTTAGATAGGTATAAAGTTTAATAATGTTAAATTTTGTTGATTCCATGATAATTTTTATTCTAGACAAAAGTTTACATTATGCACATAATGAGACCCCATAATAAAGTTTACATCTTGGCTTACCCATGTGTTTGAACACTATGAATTGACTTCATTACTTTTTGGATAAATTGAAAAAATATCATATTAATTTGTCTGTGAGAAATATATCTCTAACACTAAAGTGATACCAATAGGAATGATGTATGATATTTGTACTGTGAGTAGGTTGGATTTGTAAATTTTACAAGACTTTCAAGAGAGGAAAAAAAGATTGAATAAAGAAAAAAAAATTAAGAAATAATTGTTGACAAATATTGGGTCATGTATATATATGATACATAATTTAAATGTGTTAGAATCATTATTTATTAAGCCAAATAATAAAGTGATCTGACTAAATTAAAATTTTTAGCTAAAACATATGTCATGAAAATAAAATTGTGTAGAGACCATAGAGTAATTTCTAATTTGATGAGGGGTCAAATTGGAAATACTAAAACTTAAGTAATTAATCTAATTCTGGTTATTTAAAAGGTCATGGTCCCCTTCTGGGAGCGCACAAACACAACTTAAGTTTCAGTTCTCGTTCCTTTCTTTCTATCCCCATCAAGAGAGAAAATCCAGAGGGAAAATAAAGGTACTCTTCAGGTGAAAGACCACAAGATTAATAATGCTCTAAAAGGGACATCATGGTTATAGTTAATTCAGGTACGTTTTCGCATTTAGTCTACAACATGTTTATGAGTATGAGATAATGTTTATGTTTGATCGTTAGAATCAAAATCAGGATCATAATTATTAGTTTTTTAACAAATGTTATTAGAGCTACCCATACTTGATTAATGTCTGTTTTTTTTAGAAATTAAATTCAAATTTTTTAGATTCTTTTAATTTACGTGAACCCTAAATTCAAATTTGGGGTAAAATTCTTACTCAATTAAGGTTTCCATTCTCTTTCTTCTGTTTTTTGGTTTCAAATTTCTCGATTTGTGATGGGGCCACGATGATGAGTATAGAATTCGGTTGTGGTAAGGAGGGTATGGGGACGTGAACTAGAGGATTGATTACGTCTTCAAGGTGGTGTTAATTGGAGACTCTGCGGTGGGGAAGTCGCAGGTTATAATGAGGTTTGCGAGGATCGAGTTCAACTTTGATTTCTGACGCGCACTTTGCTCGCTGTCGAGACAATATTGAGTAACAGTTTTCAAAGCAATGTCATCGTTCTCATGGCAGAAGTTGTGGTTGTTCATGGGAATTTGGAGGGGGATCTTCAGTCTGGGGCCATTGCTGGGTACTCGCTCTTGTGGCTGCTCATGTGGGCCACGACTATGGTCACTTAACTGAACTGTGTAGGGATGAGTACCCCATATGGGCTAGGATTGTGCTCTGGTTCATGACTTAAATAACTCTTATTCGCCATAACATCCATGCAAATGAGAGAGCCATTAATTAAATTAAATTTTGGCCATGAAACTTGTCTCCGCTGAAAGCAAAAGAAATCACAAGAAACCTTGATGAATAATGTTTAGGTTGGAGAATTAAATACCATACATATATAAATCTTTTGTTCCTAATTCAAGTGGTTTGGTTTAGGTATAATTGGAAAATATTTGTTTTTCACGAATGACAGTAGTGATCTCGCACCATTATAATTTTGTTTAATAAATAAATATTAAATATTTAGTTTTATTATATAAATAAAATATTTATTTTTTTGGTAGTTTAATATTTTTTTGTGAGCAAATTGAGTCAAGAAGTCACCAAAGTAACCTCTCTTAAATTGGGTAGTTTGTGAAAAATATTGAATATTAGTGTTTGTGTATATTCATGCGAGTATTAGTCACCTAAAGGAAGATTAATATTTAGCCGAATTGCATACACACTTGTAATGATAAACATGTGATAATTATAAGGATTTGCTTTGTCGATGATAAATCAATCCAATGACTGGTTTGTTGTTGGACGTGCTTTATTGTTAATGTTTGATCATTACAACAAGATACCCCTAGTAGTTAATATTGCAATCCAAAAACTTGATATTGATGGTGCATTGGGTGTCTTGAGATGGGTTAAACCATTATTTGAATATATATATATATATATATATATATATATATATATATATATATATAATTATTTATGTTTATAATGTGAAAATAATTAGTTTGTTTTTTTTGTTCTTAATTTAGCTACAATTGCTTTTGTCCTCAAATGTATGTTTCCTACTTTGGACTATTCTGAAGTTAATTTAGCGTCAGTACCTAGTAACACTTGATGGTTAGACTCAAGTACAACTACTAACATCAGTGTTTCTATGAAGGGTTGCCTAAACTACTGGAAGCAAAGATGGATATATGTTGGAGATGACAAATCGGTAGAGGTGGAAGCTATAGGGCATTTTAAATTGTTAGTGAGTATCGGTTTTTATTTGGATTTGAAAGACACTTTTGTTGTGCCATCATTTAGACGGATTTTAGTTTCAGTTTCTTATTTGGACAGATTAGGTTATTTGTGTTCATTTGGAAATAATAAGTTCAGTTTGTCTTTTAATTCAAATATTATTGGAACTGGTTTACTTTTAACTTATAATAATCTGTATTTATTTGATATTGTAGTCACCTATAATGAAACCCTTAATACAAAATCACGGGGTAATAAACGTAAAATTGACGATACTCACTCAGGAGCATTATAGCATAGGCGCTTAGGTCACATCTCTAAAAATAGAGTTGAACGACTTGCGTCAAATGGAATCTTAAGTTCCATTGACTTCACAAACTTTGATGTTTGTGTTGAATGCATTAAGGGCAAACAGATCAAAGCGTAGAGATTAGGTTCATATAGAGCTACAAACGTCTTAGAGTTGATACATACGGACATTTATGGGTCATTTCCTACACCTTCGTGGAATGGTCAACAATACTTTATATCATTCATAGACGATTACTCACGATATACATACTTATTCCTTATACATGAAAAGTCACAATCTCTAGACGTGTTCAAAACATTTAAAGCTAAAGTTGAAAAATCAACTCAACAAAAGAATTAAGTCTATCAGGTCTGACTGTGGTGATGAGTATTATGGCAGATTTGACAGATCAGGTGAACAACGTTCAAGACCTTTTGCTAGGTACCTAGAGGAGTGTGGAATTGTCCCACAATATACCATGTCGGGATCACCTAGTATGAATGGTGTAGCTGAAAGGCGAAATTAGACTCTTAAAGATATGATGAGGAGTATGATTTGTCATTCCACCTTACCGGAGTCACTCTAGGGAGAGACACTAAAGACGACAACTTATATTCTAAACAAAGTACCAACTAAAGCAGCTACCAAAACACCTTATGATCTTTGGACTGGGAGACAGCCTAGTCTGAAGCATTTCCATGTGTGGGGTTGTCCAGCTGAGACAAGACCTTATAAGCCAAATGAAAAGAAATTAGACTCCCAAACAGTAAGTAGTTATTTTATTGGTTATGCTGAAAGATCCAGGGGATATAAATTTTACGATCTCACATTAAAGATAATTTTTAAGATGGGAACTACTACATTCTTTGAGGATATTGAGTTTGGGGAGAAAAATAAATTTAGAAACTTTATCTTGGAGGAAGAATCGGTAACAATTTCAGAATCGATTCAAACAATTATTTTTGATAAAATAAGTTCGGAACCTCCACAAGGTATATTTGATAAACCCCTTACTTAAGATGATTTGGTTGTTCATGAAGAACAAACTCAAGATCCTCAAGAACCTGTGTATCATGAGCCAATAACTTTACGGAGATCTACTAGAGAAAGAAGATGTGCTGTTTCGGAAGATTACATCGTATTTCTTCAGGAACATGAGGAAAACAATGATATGATGGAAGATGACCCAATTAACTTCCGTCAAGCTATGCAAGGTTCTAACACTGAAAATTGGATTGAAGCAATGAAGAAGGAGTATAAATCCATGCAAGACAACAAGGTTTGGGAACTTGTCCCATTACCAAAAGGTATGAAACCCATTGGTTGCAAGTGGATATTTAAGACCAAACGGGATTATAAAGGTAATGTGGAAAGGTATATACTATAAAGAACTAGACACCGATATACTATAAATTCTATAAATGTTTATGTTTATGTTTGATCATAATCAAAGTCAGTCTAAAAAAGAACTAGACACTCGATATACTATAAAGAAAAAAAAATTATTGTTGACAAATTAAAAATGTCAACATTTTATCTAAAGATCTTAATGTGGAGATATATTTATTATTTAATTTTGTAATCTAATATTTTTTCTTAATTTAATTAAAATATTAAGTCTTTTCAAGATGTTCTAATAGAAAATCTTTATTGGTGAGAGTATTCAAGTTAATTCTATCAAGCCTATATTTTAACTTTTCTCGCTCTCTTAAATCTTAATGTCATCAACAATATCTTAAAGATAGTTATATAATATTCATTTGCCATCTTTAAATTGACATGTGTAATGATAATGTTCCAAAAGTTGAGAGAAACTTTATTAACAAAATATGTAATAAAAAATACAACTCCTACGTCATTTAGTGGAAGTACATGATATTGCTTTATATTTATAGTTGAGTAACAACCTGACAAACTTTCTTCGTTTAAATTTTGATAAATGAGTTTGTTATCATTATGAAGGTGCATGTTATTTTATAAATATCAAATATACTCAATATATAAACACTTTATAGATTATTTGTAACTACATCTTCCTAAATAACTGTTGTTTGATTTGTTAAAAGGTTTTGAATATAATATTTTAATAAACAAAAGAAAGATACGAATACTCCAATCTTGTAATTACAAAGATTTAATAGTATTATTCTACTCTTAAAACAATTTCATAAATATAATTTTTTTTTAATTTTGTCAAATGCTTATTGGATAGCTATTAAACTTTATTTTATGATGGTGATTCTAAAACAAGTGAGTGTTAATTATTATACTAATTAATAAAATATGATTTTATTTCTGTAATTCAAATATGTTTGCTAATATGCTAATTTGTTCTTATTAAACACTAGTGGTTAGTTATGGGGGCTGCAATCACCCACAAAAACTACTTTACGTACATAAACTCCAGTTTATTTCACTCCAACACAAATTTGCTTTCATATATTTTATAATAAAATAAACCTTTTGACATGTTTTTAAAAAATAATTATCACATGATCATCCTTAATTTTGTTTAATATTTTTTCTATTAAAAAATATATAATTACTACAATTTTCATAAATATATGTTAATATATATATATATATATATATATATATATATATATATATTAAAAGAATCACACATTAACATTAAAATCAGGAATATAACTTGTTAACTTTCTCAATAAAACTTATTAACAAATATTTTCTAAGAAATAAGTCTGTATCAATTTGTTTTTGAGCTTTCCCTTATTTTAGGATAAAAATATATATTATACTATCAGGTATACAAGACTTTACTATAATATTATTATTATAAATCATAAATTTAATGGGTTTGTATATTTGTATTTTTTATTATATGTTTCTAACGAGGTAAAATTTAATAATAATTTTATATTTTTAAAATAAAACAATGTATTATTTAGAAAAATATTAACTAAACAATAAGAGAGATTAATGTGAATTTATTTTTAAGAATTATTTTAAATAAAATTGATAATTATTTGAGTGGTTATTAATTTATGTTTTTATTTCATAATTATTTATTTGTATTGAATAAAGAAGATTAAGTAATTATTTTAAGTGGAGTGAATAATTACTTTAATGATTATTAACTTATACATTTTTAAAATAATTATAATTTTTATTTTAGAAAAATAAAATGATCTTATAAAGAATAACAAAAATTAATTATAAAAAACAAACATCTTTTATATAATAAAATAGATAAAAAATACAAAATAAATAAAAATATATTTAATTATAAAGTAAATTAAATTAAAATAAAATCCTTAAAATAATTTGTACTTTTCATAATTATTTTCCATTTTAAGTAAATCCAATATTTCTATATTATAATAAATTATAATGTAAATCATATTAAATTAAAAATAGTGAATATATAAGATAAAGTTGTTTTTAAAGATTATTTTTGTTTATTAATATTTAAAAATAAAAAATAAACTTTCAAATTTTATGTGTAGAAGAAAGGTATACAAAGTTATATATTATTATTATCATTATATACTGTACGGAGAGTAATTTATAGAGTCCCAAGAAAGAGACAAAAAAAACTTTTGATTATAAGATTATCTACTTTGATCACATAGGTCGGTTTCAAAAGCATATGGTTAATTTATATATTTATTTATATAGAAAATAGAAAAAGCTAAAAAGCACATCCGTAGTAGCATACTAGGCACCGCTGTTTTGTTTGAAATCGAAGTGGGAATACACTGGGCCGAACCAACCCAACCCACGCAACCAACACACACTCTATCGAATGGTCAGTGTTGCATCTATGCGCTGTCACTACCCACGCACACCACCATCACCCTCTCCCTAGATTTTCCTAATCTCACGCCTGTTCACCCTCATCCTCACCGTCAAACTTTATATAAGGTTAGCCACCACCCCCAAAAACACCACTCTTCCCTTCTCTTCTAGGGTTTTCTCTTTTAAATCTCTTCCTCTCTCTGTGCCGCCTCATATGAAATAGAAAGGCAAAGGGTTCCTTGGTTAATGATTTCGATTTTACTTTTATCGGATTAACCTTTCTCTTGTGAATCTGAGTGTTTTTTCTTTTTTACTTTGATTCTTGATTTAATATGAAGCGAGGGAGGAAATCCAACCGGGTTTCGTGGGCTACTGGAGGGAACCTGTGTCAGGTATATCTATCTGCAAAGATTTTTTATCCAATATTCTATGATTTGGCCAAGTTTTTTGTTTGTGATTTGTTATCGTTTTTTCACCTTTGGCCTTCACTGTCACTCGATGTTGTTCATACTCCCTTTCTGGTTTGAGTTTTGTGTTTTGCTTTTGTTTTCTGCGGTGTTTCCTGACATTTTATGCACAGGCGGCCATTGAAGAAACAGGGGTCACTCCTAGCAATAATAATAATAATAATAATAATAGTAACGAATATTATATATTATTATTATTATATATTATTATTATATATTATTATTATAAGAATGAAAATGATAATCTTAATAGTAATAATAACAAGGAAAGTGACAATCTTATAATAATAATAATAATAATAATAATAATAATAATAATAATAATAATAATAATAATAGTGAAATGTGATAATGAAAAGAGGAAGAAAAAGGAAGTTTCATGGAATAAACTGTAATCCAGGTAATTTGTTTTAAAAATTTCCTTAATTTAAATGCTTGGATACTTAAATAGTGGTTGATTTATAAGTGGAAATAATGGAAGAAAAACAGTATGGAAGAATAGTCCTTGAGATCTTCCATTGAAAAGTTTTAAATCTATAAAATATGTTTAAAAAATCTCATTAATTTGAATGGATGAATGCTTAATAATGCTTGGTTACACAAATATTAGAATCGTGAAGAAGAATAACGAGGAAAAGAGTAAGGAAGAAATACTCAAAGAACCTCAATGGAAAACTTTACAATCTAGATAATAACATGTTTAAAATGTCTTCAATTTAAATGTTCAAGTACTTTAAAGGTAAAATTGTAAATCATCACGAGATGAATAAGAGTAAGGAAGAACACCCTTTGAGAACCTCAATGGAAAAATTTACAATTTAGATTATACGTTTTAAAAATTTCATTAATTTAAATGTATCTCGTTCTTTAATAGTGCTAGATTGCAGCAAAAAAATTGAAACTATGATAAATTTAATTTCGTTAAAACCTAAAATGAAAAGTAAACTACAAATCTTAATTACTGATACCAGTGAATATTAAAAACCATTGGTGAGTTTATGAATAATGCAGATAATATGACGAAGTTGGTGACATAACCCTAAACTTCGAAAAACAGATTTAAATCTATGAAGTTGTCCTTGTCCTTTCTTTGATGACCTTGTGTCCAGTACCTCCTTTTCCTTGGTTTTAGAAAAGGATATTTACTTTCATAGTTTATTTTCCTAAGTAGTTACAAAATACCTTATTGATTATTGCTTTCAAAGACTTGCGCATTGTTTCTGATAGAAATATTTTGACAGTAGAAAACAAGGTGAAAATAATGTTATTTACATTTGTAAGTATGTATGAATACAAGTGTAAAATGTTTCTCAAATCAAACAATTCCTTAAACTTTGTTAATTCAAAATTTGCATAGACGTATACAACTTTTTTTTTTTTTTTGCATTGGTAGTCATATCCTTAAGATTTCATCAAAGTTTGTAGCAATTTATTGATGACAAATTTTAATCTTGGACTGCAATGGAAGCAGTTGATCACCCCAAAAATGTTGCACTAAAGATAAAATAACAAAATGCAATTAATTTTTATACAAGACTAATCCTCAAACTAGAAAAGTACCCAAGATTTAAGACAAATCATCAATACTAAAAAATGGTAGCTTAGGGACATAGTTCAACAGTCAAGGAATAACTGATAACTATAAGTGAATGATAATGATAATCACAATGAAACAGAGCAACTAGCTTTGAAAAATGCTCTAAATGGAGCTGAGATGCGAAATGGCCGCATAAAGGCACAAAGCATAAGTGCAAAACTTCTACACCATTTGCTGCTTTCAACTTCAATGCACGAATTTGAAAAAGTGGTAGATATATGCATATTGTATCTGTCCCTGATACGAATACACAAACATCATGGTTGCATTTGTACCCATCATACAGCCTAGACCCAATCATTATTGTCATTGCCATAATGCTTAGCTACAACGTGTCCTACTCCTGTGTTACACAGGATCAGCAAACTGTCACTTCCTCTGTTGATCTCTTGTGTTGCCCCTGGTGACCACACTGTTAATACTGCTCATGTCATGCAAGTCATGAAGAACAAAGTGGCATGTACTGTGCTTTTGTGCTTCAGCCCTCTTCACTGCAAGCAAATCGGAATAGGAAGATCTCTGTGCAGATCACAGATACCCTTCTTGACCTAGTTTTTGTAAAACAAGTAACTTGGTCAGAAATGTATCTTTTGTTAAACCTAGAGTCTCTGTAGTTTGAGAAAACTTTTTTTATTTCTGTTTTCACTTTTAATTTTCATCACTTTGTTTTCTGTTTTTAAAATATTTTATAGGAAATAGTGAATAAAAATTTATTTTCACTGATAAGTGAGATACTTGACTAGAGGGAATCTGTCATCATGATTTACCACTTAGATGTAATTGAAATAAATAGTCTAGTGGGATATTTGATAATATTTTTACTGAGATAGGTTTTTTAGATAAATTTCATAAACCTGCTACCTATAAAGTCTATAATAAGTAAAATATCATGGTGGTGTTGGAATAAACTCATTAGAGTAATGTTGTTGAACCATTTCTAGAAATTGAGAAGGTAAAATGTAACAAGGCATGCAATTAAATTAACATATCATTCAATTTATTGTAATTTGTCTAAATATTAAACAATGAATTTGATGTTGTATCACTAGAAGTAAATGCAATTGTAATGGTCACAAAACAAAATAAATGTTTTATTAGTGTCCATATGGTTTAAAAGATTTGTTAGTACATGTTCATATGAAGGTTAATGTACTAATCTTGATTCTTTTATATATTTTGTTTGTGTATATTTAACATGTGTGTGTGTGTTTTCTCTATATTTTTTACATTGCCATGTTGAAGTGTTCTAGCTAGTGTCAGTGTTTTAAAACTGGTTCGGATTGGTTGTTATGAATAGTGGGACCAAGAATCGATAGTATTATTGGTCTAAACCACATATTCAATTAGACATCTCAATGAACTCATGTAAATTGGTATGACAACGAATTTTACTGTTAAACCAGAGAAGTAACGAATGTGACCTGTGATTCAGATTGGTCTGGTCACGTATTTTTAATGCTTATTTGATATTGAATGGTAAAATTAAAACTTGAAGATTTACCAAGGATGGGGATAGAAACAAGGTTCCCTCGCGTAGAATTTTACCAGTCACCACTAAATCAATGCATTTATTTTGTATATGGCAAAACGTATTTGTATCCAATGCACTGTACATTAATAATATAAAATGATGCATGTATACAATGTGAGTATCAGATATATGTCATATCCGATAAAAATATGGCTATTTGTCTTTTCTTGAAAAATATAGGATACCATATGTTTGGGAAATTTATGTGTGTATATATATAATTCGCAAAATAAAATAAACGCTATCATAATTTATTAAAACACCATACTCGAATGAACAAGACAATGGAAGAAAACTAGAAAAGTAGTTGCTAAGCAGGAAATAATGATTAAAAAATAACCTATGTTTAAAGGAAATAAAAATACCAGAGGATGAATCCAATTAGCAAATAAGAATAAAGAAAGAATCAATAAAATATTGCATGAGATGGAAGGAATCTAATCCACACCTGTAATGCCAGGCACCCCAGGTGTATCCCTTTTTGGTGGGTTCAAGAATGATGGAAGGAATAAGAATTACAAGTACTTGTGAAGAATAACAAACTGTACATGCGTTGCTCCATTGCAAATGTAGACAGAGTTGTTTGCTATCCCAAATGTATCTTATAGTAATTGTGTTGGATACATCAGCAACATGGATACATGCCCTAAACTTACATACCAGTGCATCAGTAATTATATATATATGAAGAGCAATTTTGTTTGATTGTGGCCCTTTGACTATAACTGTTTGATTTTGTGAGTGGTTGTTGTGGGGTAATAAGTGGTTGTATTTTTGGCTTATTTTCCAAACATGAAGAATTTGGATGATTTGGGGATGATGTAGTAGTTCAAAGGGTTATTATATATAGAAAATGTGTGAAGAGTGCAACAAGTTTGGTTTGGGGGAAATTAACTTGGCGGGTCCCATGGACATAATCGCTTTCATTTCTCACTTCCTTTCCAGTTCATTTTCTCTTTTGTCAACCCTTCTTAACTCACTCAAAACAAAGTGTAGGAGGTGTGCATTGATTATACTAGGGATTGCATTTATAAATTTAATTACCAAGGGCCTGAATTGATAAAAGTTGTATCCATGTGATGTGGACAAAAATGGCATTTTCTCTTTGGTTGGAAATCCCACAAAATCAAAATTTCCAATGACATCGTGTGTTTCATAGTCAATCTCACCTAGTTCAAAACAGCCTTTGTTGTTTACTGCCTAGTTATTAATCACACAATTGCGGAGATGAGGGGTGTGTTTTGTAAGATGCATCTATTGTTCCTTGATGGAAGCCGAGTGGGAAAATCATAGTCAAATTGTGACTATTGGGTTGTTACATTCTTACTTTTAAGTAGAAAGAGATACATTTATACTATTAGATATAATTTTTGGTTTAGTGGTAACTACTTGATCCAACAACAATTTGGATACTCCTTCGTAAAATGACATTTTGTCTTTGGTTGGAAATCCCACTATAATCAATTTGTCTAATGATATTGGGTGACTCATGTAACCCATCTCATTTAGTTGAATAGGACTTTTTGTTGTTTACTTCATTCTTGTTAACCACATGCATCGAAGATCCTAGGGCATCATGCTTGGGAATCAGAGGCTGTTGCACTCTAAATAGGGGCTAAAATTGCACTCAAAAGCAGATTTTGCATCCAAATTTGTACTAAAAGGGCAAAATGTTTTACTCAACATGGGGACATGGGGAGAAGGTTAAAGGGTAAAGATAAAATTGCATCTTATTTTGGCCTCACAAACACGATTTTCACTTTCTCCTTCTTCAATAATCACTTTTTCCCTTTCTTCCTTTCAGTCCTAAATCTCTCTTCATGAATCCTTCCAGCCATGTCTTTCATAGGCCAACTTTGTCCCTATTTTTCAATTTCTGGCATGGTGTGCTACTTCTGGTGAGATTTCTAGTGGCAGAGCTACAATTTCCAGCATGGCCTGAAATTTTGGGCCTGCTACATTGTTCTTTTTGATCTATTTTCTGTTCAGCCATGGCGGCTCCATGGCCAACTGTAGAGGTTTAAGATGATGACGATAATATTTGAGCTATTTTGATGTGTAGTAGCTGTTCTTAGTCTTTAAGCCTTAGGGGCTTAAAGTTGTTTTTGATTTAATGATTTCGTTTGTTGTAATTCAGTAATCGACAATTGGACTTGCTGTCTTGGTCATGCAAAGTTTCAATACATACACACACACACATATATGTGTGTGTAGAAACTTAATGGTTTCCTTTATTGTTATAGCAGTTTTGGGGTGGTTGCCTACTCTGCTATTCACTTTTAACTACTATGGTTTACTGTTAATCTTTAAGTTTGTGTTAAATGCTCTGGGGTTGTCTCATTTATGATCATGACTGGAGTTTCAATAGCACAGCTGCCATTACCGTATTGATATTATGAATGTTCAAATTTGGGCATACAAAATTAATTTTGAAAAGGGTGATATGTTAAAGAATGGCTGAGAAATTGTTTTCTCAGAAGTTAATTCACTATTTTTTTTTTGCCCTTTGTGAAATTTTAAGCTCTTCTATCTCAAGAAGAATAAGAAAATGGATATATAGGTATGGATGATATGGTACTTTCATAAAACATTGGTAAATTATATGTGCATAAGTTTGGTTTGTTTTAGATTTGGTTGATTTCAACATTGGAATTGAAAGAATTTGGTTTAAGTTTTTCAGTTCTTCTAGTTTTTGCTGTGTTCATTGTGTAGGACTGGTTATGAATACAAACCATTACTTTTAGTACTAGACTGGAATTTCTGTTTTATTATTGGTTGAATTGAATGGTTTCCACAAGCCTTGAAAATTGTTCTGGCCACAGTATATTAAGCAATTCCCAGATAGATGTGAAGTGAGATAAATAGAACTCATGGCTGCAATTTAAATATTCTTATTTGATTGAAATGTAAACTTGGCTTCTGGTTTTGAGAAACGAACTGAAAGTGAAACTTTTCAGGCAGCGGGTAACAGTGGATTGATTAGAGTTTTTTTTTTTTTTTTTTTTTTCATTTTGATCCCTCAGTTTATATTTCGAAGTAACTAACGGTTTCCTAACTGGTTTCAACATCTGATATGATTCCTTATTTTGTTTTGTGTTTTGGGTGGGATTGTAGTTCTCGTAATTTATTGTAGTTATACTGTATGATGTTGTTATTAGTGGTTTTCTTTTCTTAGGATTTGTAGATATGGTCCTGAGGTTTCAACATGAGTATTTCTGTGACTTCTTATTTATACAGTTTTCTTTAATTATGTAGTGATATAACATCATTTCAACCTACTTGTAATGTATGCCACTCCCTCTTTTGTAACACTAATACTTGTGACCTGACAGATAAAATTGTTCTTGTCTGAGGATTGCCCCTCAAAAGTTGGCCAACATTCGCACGATCATCTTCAAGCAAAGACATCATCAATGTTAAATTCTAGTATTAATGATCCTATCGATTTGCCCCCCGGGTTTGAAGGCAGTCATTTCCTAAAACAAACCAAGGTTGATGTCTGCTACATTTCCCACATAAAATGGGAATGCCCTCCGCTGGTAATTCTGTTACATGTTATTTAGAACCTCCACTTACAAATGACGAACTCGTTGGATATTTACTGTTTTTTTAACCATTATGTCCAACTGGTTTGTTTATGATTCTTCTCTTTTACTATATTGATATCTCTAACTTTCAATACAGTTTGTTGTCAGTCCTAAATGGCATGTTGCAGCGGGTGAAGAAAGTAGGGAGAAAGAGAATCAGAAACTGAGAGAAAAGAGGGTGCTTGAAGCTATTTATCCCCGTCTTTCTGCCATTCCTCCTAGGTAAAATGCCACAGCTTAGTGTTGAAAGTCTTGTGGTACTTTTTTTTTTCTGTTACTCACTTTGTTGTGTTTTGGTTGGGTGTATAGCCCTTCTGTCTCATTGGATGTAGAAGAGGAATATTATAATGATGACATTACTCCCGTCATCCCCATCATTCCCATTGAAGAGGAAGAACCTATGGATGTTTTACCTGAAATGGCAGTAGCAGGGAACCTTTCCCCCAATGTGCAGCCGAATAACCCTATGCAATATATTTCTGCCAAAACTTGCGTACCCTCTAATGCCTCTCATACTGATTCCTCGGATCCCTGTGTAGGGTCCTTGGCTGGAGTATCTTTTGGTATGGAAGCTGATTTGGCAGCTTCGGTTGTTTCAACCATCATGAGGAGTAATGAGCAAGGATGCCTGATTGATATGGATTTACTGGTTAAAATATTTAATGATCCAAAAATACTCGACAAGCTGATTAATGAACATAGAACTGCAGCTACCACTGTAAGTGCATCCACAAATACTGTGGATACCACTTCTGGTGATAAGCCTGCTTTTCCAGTTCTGTTGTCTACATCTACTTCTGATGTGACAGCTTCTGGGACTACACCCACAAGTGCAGTGAGTTCATTGTCTTCTGGGTTTAAGCCTGCAAATCCCTCTGTTTCAATATTGAATCCTACACCTGACAAGCCAGCCACTCTGTCAGCGCCTGCAATTCCATCAGTTTCACTGTTGTCTTCTGCTCATGATAATCCAGTTACTGCATCAGTTCCATCGTCTATTCCTGTATCCGGTAAGCCAGTAGTACCCTCAGTTTCATTGCATACACATACACCTGTATCTCATATGCCCAGGTCTGTCGGCCAAAATTTACTCCATTTGTCAAGTGGGATTTCCCCTGCTTTAAATACCGAGTCTCAGCAAGATACAGCTCCTCCATCTGGGCCAACGGGAGCGGCAGTGGCGTCCATATGTTCTGGTGAATTAAGCACTGGTCCATTGCCATCTCTTGCGAGGAACTTGCGTGCTGTTGTGAATCAAGTGCAGTCCACTCCTAGTACATTGCCTTATAAACTAAGCACAGGTTCATCAGCATTTGCTGTAAAGGATGCCAACTACTATAAAAATCTCATCAGGCAACATGGTGCAGATAAGCACGATATGCAGGACTCACACATAGGTATCCGTCATAGTAACTTCCAAGATATGAAACCGGTACATAACTTTAAACAAGGAGAAGTGAAACACAAAATCCAGAAACCATGCATATACTTTAAAAGCTCAAAGGGGTGCCGAAATGGTTCCAATTGCCCCTATCAGCATGATGTTTCAGCTCAGTGGGGAGCTGGTAACGTCTTAGGGGCACAGAGTGCAAAAAGATTGAAATCGGGACCATAGTTTAGCGGTGAACTAAATCTTAAGCGGCATATTTTAACGGTAAAAATTATAAGGCTTCATTTGTTTCACCGTACAGAACATGCACATACAGAGAGAGGGGGGTTGGAAAGAGGGGGGAGAGTAAAAAGTGGGACATTGACTTAATTAGTTTACAGAGTTTTCTGGGAGTGTTTTGGTAGCCGGACTTTACTTTAGTTTTGGGCCTGCAGGAACTTTCATACAATTGGGTGGAGGGTTTTATGGTTCATTCATAGGGTTTTATATTTGACGACATTAGTGTTTTGGTCAAAATGGTATTTTCGATTTTGCAGGTTGGGGGAGATTTCTGCGGTCTCGGTCAACTGGTGGCCATCCGTGGTGTTCATATGCGGATGCCACCCAGCCTTCAGTCATTAATTCACTGCATAATAATAAATCATGAATAACACATACAATAATAAAATAATGGCAAGATTTAAAAAATAATATTTAATGACCAATTAATGAAACATTTAACTGCCGTGCAGTAATTTGATTACTGCTAATGTTTTTGGAAAGTTGCTTCACACAGCACAATATTTTTAAATATGGTAGATTTTTTCAATTGTCATATAATTAAAGAAGGCTTGGCTATATTAATCCGTTGCGTGTAGGTTCATTTCTAATCATTATTTAAATTGTTAGCATAATTAATATCTAACCAGTCTTCACATATGTAAATAATAAATAATATAATTGTTGAATCTCAAAGTTGACTTAGAACGTAATGCATCCTTTGCAGTCAACTAAGACAGTTTGCAACTACAATCTTTTGAAAAAAGTTTTAATATTCTTTACTCTAAATTATAAGTAAAAATATATTTTCTATGCTTGCCATGTTAAAGTCAAACACAGCCTGTGTTAAATGAAAGTTTATTATTTAAGGTCATTAAATAATGGTTGGTGCTTTACATTATTAATGTGACAGTAGGTTGACCTAGTTGTAAAAGTAGAAATGAAGGGAGAGATATAGTTTGTGTTTGAATTGTTCTACTAATAAAAATTAATACATTAAATACTATTAATTTGTCTATAGAAAAAGGTTAAACTTGGTAGTGAATATGTCAAATTTTAAGTTTTAATCTTTGTCTTGGAATGTAAAAATTTATTAATTCATTTTGATTTGGTCAAAAATTGTTCTAAACTGATTTATTGTGATGAGAATTTTATATATTTTTACTAGATTTTTTTCATATCCAGATCATTTTTAAAAACTATATTTTACATTTTTAAACTATCTTTCCAAAAGAATTCAAAAATATATTTTAAAATATAATTTTTGAAATTTTTATTTGGGAAACTTAAGAATGATTTGATTATGTAAAATTTGGTTGGATTGATTTTGATGTGTTGTTAGTATTGATAAAAAGGTCTATTGAATTTTTGAGAAAATGTTTAAAAATTAAATTGGTGGATTTTATTCGAGTTATTTTTTCTACACTTTTAAATGGATTTCATTTTATTTAATTCTTTACATCTTGATAATAAATGAATTAGATTGATTTACTTTTGTACTCGTGATTTAGCAATAGTGGTTAAAGATTTTGAAGAAACAAAAATATAGAAATAATAATTTGTCAAATTTAAATTTTAATCATGTTAAAAGATTTTGAATAATATTTTAAAATTTAAAAGAATATTTGAAGGAATAAATATTCAATAAAGATTTTGAAATATGTTTAATTCTTACTTATTTTTCAAGAAATAATATATTTGATTTAAATGAAATAATTTTAAGAATATAGCGTACTCCCTAAAAGAATCCTTAATTTGAGTAAAATGTACTCCGGAAATTGTTTAAACACTTTGTATCACTTTAGTTAAGGTTAGATTTTTGTCGATGGTTGCTTCTAACTTTTTCAAAATGAATTACGGATCGTAGTCAATTATTTTAAGACAAAAAAATTGACCAATTACAGTCACACAAATTTCTATTGTAGATTTTAGTTTTTTTTTTTTTAACTTAATTTAGAGGGGTGAGTGATCACTTGACATTACTTTGTTAATGTGAACGAATAGTTTAACGTGAGAATCAAGTGACTCACACACACACACATTTATATATATAAAAGTTCTACAATCTCATGAAACTGTTTTTTCACTTCTCATCACTAATAACGTTCAGTCATTAAAAAAAACATTATCTATATGTATTTCTAATTCTTTCATCAACTTAGACTGTTAACGTTCACATTCAATTAATTATTATTTTCACATTTTTATATTATTATTTTACATATAATTTAGTTAAACAACCTTTTTTTCTCAACTTTATTTTAATGAAAAAAATAACATTTTATCATTTTATAAAGGTCATAAATTATATTAGACTTGTCGGATAAACTTTGATTGCCTTTAAATTTTGAATCCGAATTAAAAATAATCTTCTAGTTTGATATGGTGATCAACTCATTTCATATTCAGGTTAAAGCATAACTAGTTTGGTTGGATTTGACTGATAAAACTACACCCTGTTAATTATTTTTTAAATTTTATTGTGAATGATACCAAGAGAAATTCTTTTATAAATATTGAAGATAATCTCACTATTTTTTTTTTCATCCTTGTCTTAAGTGTAACAATAAAGTAGGCATATTCAGACAAATAAAAGAAGAACAACTCTACTATATTTGGCTGCAAAATGTATAGAAAACGTATTATGGACTTTTTATTGTTTCACAGAAACGTATTATGTGCTGTAAGGTCACAAAATCTATTAATAATAGTAAAATGAAGTTTAGCAACATATATGCCTCTTCAATCATGCAATAAAAGGTTTACCCAAATAAGAATCAAGAACTATACAATATAAGGGCATGGAGTTTACGATTTAGTCTTTGACAATCACTACCATTATTTAAAAAAAAAAAAAAAAAAAAACTTATACGTAAGTAGTAATGATTCATTATGTCTAAAACTCCAAATCTGTGAAATGAAAGTGTGCAATGCAACGTGTTTCAATCCAAATTGGTGTAGTTAGTATGAAATTCTTCTTTTCTCAAAATTTTGTCCAATGGGGTGGAAAGAAATTCACAACACAGTTTTCTCCATAATCAAGATTGCATCTTGAATCATGGTGAGTAATATGTTAATATGTTGTTAATGCACCTTTGCCTGAACCTCTTATCAATTTTGAAATGCCCCAAGAAACTAGTCCCATGCAATGCAAGCATGCATTAAGTAGAACCAGAGACGCTATTTATTAATGATATAAACACTATCAGACAAACAGAAATGACGAAAAGATGAAAGATTGGATGTTGTTTTGGACCGAGAAAGTCACATTTCAAATACAAAATTATGTAACCCATGACTTGATTTGATGCCTCAGGCTTCTTATTATTTTATTAAATAAATAAATAACATTTAAATGAAATTTGTTGTCTAAATTGATAATAAATATTTTTTTAATCAAAATTTAAATAAATTTTATGTGTAATAAAATATAAATTAAAATAAAATTAGTTTAAATTAGATAATATATATATATATATATATATATATATATATAAGAAAAAGACATATATAATTAAATAAAAATTTTAAATCATTTTTAATAATAAATAAATATATTATGTATTTAAACATCAATTTTGTATAGGTACCATAATTAATCGATTATTGTTAAATAATTAATTGATTATTCAATAGATGTGGACAAAAAAAATCACACAATAGAATTTGAGAATGAAATGAAAATATTCAAGCATGAGGTTTAAATAGTATATTGTCCATTCGAGCTGACTTTCTAACCATTTCATCACAAGGGAGAAGAGATTAAATGGGTGTATTTTAATAATCTTTCTCAACAAATCAATATAAATCAATAAAAACAAACGTAATAAATCATTGTATTTCTATGCTACAACGCTTTCTTTTCCGCAGAAACAGTACAAATCTAGAGGCACACATAGGCTATTACAATAAATTTCCCTTCTTATCAATTTTGCTATTAAAATTTCCTAGCCCTGTTAAAGAATAAAGAAAACTTAATGAATATCAATGTCATAACATAATACTTTTATTACGTGTTACAAGTTGTAAGTTGTAAGTTCAAATTTAAATATATCTCCTTCTCTTGATGGGAAGGATGATCATATTCAATATCATTAAAACAATCATAAATATCTCCCTGTCTAAACGCCTGCCCTCATTTTTTTCTATGAAAACTATATTTAACAAAGACAAGAACATTAAGTCATTCTTCCCAATGTATATAAACTTGATAAAATATACTTCAATATCTTTCACACCTCGTAACACTACAAATGAGGCTCAAAACTATCATTATTAGTTTTTGTAACTTCTGGATCTTTCACAATACCTTGCTCACTAAAGAGTTGCGAAGTCAAAACAAAATTCATCCTATCTAAGGTTATGAAAATTGATCAAAATCTCAAAAACATGGATTATTTACTGAAACATATAAAAATTTGACATACCAGCAGGAGAGATGCTCCGGCTAAAGACACTAGAATCCAAATCTTATAAATGTCATTCAAAATTACAAGCATACCGCACAATTGTCATGAAGGCAATATATCATCCAAATACATGGCCCCACCATGTCTAAAACATGATATATTTATATCAGCAGATCCTGACCTGAACAAGAATCCTGGATATCTTCTACAGATGTTAATAGGAGATAACTCCTTATAATCATTTTGTCCTCTTAATAATGTGGACTCCACTGTCGGTGTCCACAATGTCACTAAGTTCACCAACTTTAAGAGCAAAGGTTGCATCTTCAAAAGGCTTCTGCATCTGGCCACGACCAAAAGGACCTGCATCCATGAAACATTTCAGTTTAATTAATAAAAGAACTAATGAAAATTTTAGGCATGTACTCCATTAAGATATGAAAGTTATGACTGAATTTAGATCCCCAATCCATTGACTTATGATGAGTTTGGTTCTGCATCTATAGGTCTACCTTATTCTTTTGCAAGATTAAAATCAAAATTCACAGATAATTCAAAAGCAACTGTGCTTCAAGAGTGACACGTCCACGGTTTTGTGACGCTACTCCAAATACTCAGCAATTTTAAATAAACTTACTTACAAGTTTTCTGTTTCAAGGAAACCGCATTCATGAAGATACTGTTACCCTCACAACCAGATAATAGATCATACTAGACAGTTACAAAGATTGAAAGATTCGTTGTCTTGATAGACAATTGACTAGCAACCCATTAGATCACATTCAAGCAATATTTGGTCTGCCTACAGCAAGGCTGGCAGATGCCAATTGCCATAGGAACATCAAGCGGGAAAAGACATATATACCACCAGAATATTAAATAAAAAACTATTTTTATGACACTAACATGAAACTTTTAAGGTGCTTCTCAGTTCTCAGACAAGTAGAAGCCTTTTTCAGGTATTCATTTATTTTAAACACAATGGCATAGATGTATATTATTTTAGATTGTGATAGTGAGGAACTAAAATATACGGTTTGGACTACACAACAATTTTGAGTTTTTATGTTTTCATTTAGGTAAAATGATTACAAAAACTCAAGGGATACTTTGGAATCATCTGGGATTAATGCACCCCCAGAAGACGAAACCAAATCACTTTGAAAAACTGGTAGTATAAGTCACATGAACTTCACACCTGATTCATGAACAGGTATCTTTTTTGTTTTTAGTTTCTCGTATACTTTTCCAGAGACAATTTTGTTCAAGGTACAAGCAAACACTAAATGTGGATATCCAAACTTGGTTTGCCAAGAAACAAATTCCTTTCACCATACCCAACCGCCCATGGTAACAGATATCTCATACATGTGATAAGAATCCAGTACATTAAATTTAGATGGAGGAAATTCCAAATAAAGATGAAAGAAAACACAAAAGTTTCTGCAAAAGCTCATAAGTGTAAAAGGTGACAGATAAAATGCGAGCATTGGTGAAATATGGGGAATTCTTATGAAACTTTCAATGTAACAATAGCAACGCAATTAATGTTGTTGAAAGTTCATATTGATATTCTGTCAAACACCGCAAGTTTGTCAATAAGAAACACAAAAGCATGTATAGTGAGAAAGTAAAAGAGTATACACAGTCAGTTTGAATAATATATAATCCATGTAATCCTACCTAATTGCAACTTCGCCAGGGTAAATCCATGCCCTTTTTCACTTTGAATACTTGCTTACTAGGTCCAGTATCAACCACCCCCAAACTATTAAACCAATATTCTCAATAACTAAATTACTCGCTCTATTTTTTTTATAACGTGAGCAGGAAAAATTCAAACTACTAATAGTTAATTAGAAGCCGAAGTAACAACTGAATCCATCAAAGGGCAAAAGTTAGATGCAACTCCATAGATTCTTCTGCTGCATTTCTCTAATCAGAAAGAGTTTCACCTCAGTAATCCACACTGACAGTTAATGAAAACTTTTATTATAAGATTACCAAAGTAAAACTCAAATTCTGATTTAAATACACAACCAAAAGCACATACGAAACTACATCTAAGTTTTGTTCTCTGTCCAACTTAATCCATAACTCTTGTCCTGTTTTGTTACAATACACTGATAAGAAGCCCGCAGAATAATAAAACAGCTCCTTAATTTAAGGCTCCTTGCGCGATATTTGGGAATTATGAAGACTGGATACTATAATAACATGGGTACAACACAACAATAATATGGGAACAGGACAAAAATTTAGATTTAAGATAACAAAACTTTATAAAATATTTTATATAGATACAGAAAATCACAAAGAAAAAGACAACGATTCTTTCTCATTAATTAATAACTATAATGATCACACTTTACAAAAAGGTATTTGTGATAAAAAATGCATTTTCTGCCAATATCATAATAAATCAGAGTAATAAAAACATCTTTTACAGAACTCAAAACAAGTATTGACTCCATAGCTTACAATTCATATGCATCATGGTTGTGACTTAATGACAAGTTTATTGTGATCCTGCATAGAGACTTAAAGTTACCGATCTCACTTAACTAACAGTTTGATAAAGAAAATTATTAAATCAATTGGTTGTCCAAAATTAAATCACCGACAAATTTGGGATCACCACCACCCCACCCAAAATTCAGATCACCACTGCAGCCACCTAACCTCAGGCATAAATTTTAAAGCTTAAGACAATTTTCAAATCCGCACTAAACCTTACATAATAAATCCAAATGCACTTTAAATATTATTTTATTCTTATATAAAAATATCATTCTTATAAAGAGAGTTTTCCCAGAACTGACCAAGATCCCCGCCACGCTTGGCAGAGCTGCAATCGGAGAAGCGAGATGCGATATCCTCAAAGGTTGCCTTGCCCGAAACGATGTCCTCGCGGAGGGCCTTGAGCTGAGAAACCGCAGTTTCTCTTGTGGTATTCTTGATGATGCGTCCTTCTGGATCCTTCCAAGAAGCCTTCCTTCTAGACCCTTCGTGCTTTATCAGTATGTGTGAAGCCCTAACCTCACCGCCACCTTTCGACGACGACATCTTTACCTTCTTCTTCCGGTTCTCCTTCTCCGATCGATCCGCCGTCGAGGTCGACGCCTTCTTCCTCTTCCGATCTGGCTCAATCTTCGCCGCCCTAGCTTCAGAGAGAAACGAATAACGATTAACACTTTACTCACTCACGTGCTTCTTCGGTATTTATAGAGTAGTTCTAAAGTAAGGGGCACTCTTGGTTGTGGACATCTGAGACGTCCGTTTGAACTTCAAAGTGCGGGTCAGATTCGATGTAGCTCCTGTATTGTTCCAAAACCATTGTATGGGCCACGTTTCTCCATCTAATTGGCTTTTCCTACCACTATGATTATGCTCTTCTTCTCATAATGTATAAAATATATCTACACCCATGCAATTTATTAGTACTTTCTAAACTAAGACTAATAATACCATTTGATTTAGATAAAATAAATATTGTATTTTTAATATGTTAGATTTATTTTTGAATTAAAAATGAAAAATTAAATCAAATTATTTATTATATTTACATATAATATCATCTTTTAAAAAGAAATTATCAATTAATAAACATACTTAACTATATATTTTAAAGGTTATGTTTGAAGATTAATTATATTTTATTTATAATATATTTATGTTTATTAAATAGTTTAAGATAAACATGTCCCAAACGACCTAATAAAAAGTTTATTAGTGAGCTTAAGAAGATATACCAATGCGGATGAATTTACACTTGGGGGAGAATATTAGGAAATTTAAGTGTGAGTCTAAGTCTTATATTGAGTAACAAAGTTAAGTAACATACAAGGAAGTATAACTCATAACCTCGTGTCTTAAAGTTTCGAGTTAAGAATGATGTTAATGTAGGTTGAGCTTGTTGAAAGTCTCATATTACCTACCAAATTAAATACATATTAAGTTACTCCACATATTGTCAATTAGTTTTATGTTGGAACCTTAACATGGTATAAGAGTCAAAGTCTCAGATCGCTGCCTCATATCATTTAGGTTACTACACATATTGTCAATTGGTTGATGTGGGACTTTCAATGTCCCATTTGTGATAATTTATTTGTTGTTACCCTTTCTCAATCTGGATCAATTAAGCGAAAATATCTTTCAGATTTGAGAGAGAGAGGGTGAATTTTCCTTCAAAAATTACATATATAATCATAATTATATAGTTTTTTATAATATATTTTTTTATTTGTTAAAATTTATTATAAAATGTTATAATAATTTTTTAATTGTTTAAGAAATTAAAATAATACAAACCATCAAACCAATCTAAATCAAAAATAAATTTGATTTAATTATTTAACGAAGCTAATCAATTTTAATTATCCTTTATCAACGTAGTTATTTGTAAGATTTTTTTAAATTTTATAATATTGTCAATAAACTTCTATCCACAAATTAAAAAAATGAAAAATAAAAGTTTATATATAGTAATAATTAATTTGTATTTCGAGTTGTTAATTATGCATAAGAAAAATTCTTATTTAAAAATAATATGATCATTTATACATTGTTCATTTTGTGTTTCAGACCTATATTTGTATGCATTCCAAAAACATGTGATTTCTAATTATCATAGATAAGAAAACTATGAAATTTTAAAAAGATATATTTAATTTAATTAAATAAATTAAATAAATATATGAATAAATAATTAAAGATAGAGAGAATAAATAAATAAATAAATGAAATAGGCTTATAAGGATAAGGGATTTCAAGAGTCATAATTTCTTAAGTTCAAAGAATTTATATATAGAGATTAGATAATACTATTGTCATGGTGGTAACAATGGGGAACCTATTAAGGTGAGTTTAAATACCCTAGATGTTAGAAAAGGAAGATTCACATGGATTTGTATAGAAATTAATTTTAATGTTTTGGTGTAGGATGACTATTTTTACAAGGAGAAGGGACTTTGTCTTCATTGCCTGAAACTCTAACAAAAATTCTGTTAACATTGGTGAGTCATCTCTCCTCAATACATGAAGACCAGTTATGCTTAGGAAAAATAGAAGATCAACTGCAATGGATATGGAAGGATAAGACTATTAAAACACTCATGCAAATCATTCAAATGATAAGAGAGAGAAAAAGATTGCCTCCACAAACATGAAGGATATTAATTTAAGTATAAACTTCACTGAAGTCCTAAAATACCCCATGCCTCTACACACTACAAAGAAGGAGAACAAATAATAATAAAAAGTAATGCAACCATCCATACTTGTCAGACAGGACTATTAGTGCATCAGAGATTATGTTACCTAATTACTTGCTTAAAAATATGGGAAAGAATTTGTAAAAATATTATGATTCTTAGTGAGAAGCGCATGAAATAATCTAAAGAGCTTATAATCGGTTCTTCTTCTCCTTACCAATCTGAAATTTACTCGTTTATCTGTTGTACTCATAAATAAAAAGGAAAATGCAACATAACAAAAAATAAAAAGTTTCTTTTAAGGATGAGGGAGACTAAAGATTTTACAGGTACAATAATTACAACACAATGGTTTGATCAACAAGCACCATGTGCTTACTCCTCTTTTTTACGTCTATCCCTGCAACTGGTACAAGCTATTGAACAAAGAGGTACTGAAGCGAAGCAAGTTAGTTGAACAATGAAAAGTTGACAATCTGAACAACTTCCCACGAGAACAACTACAAATCCCTCAACATGGGCCAACCCCTTTTAATAATATCATTGATCTTGGAATCAATATGCTTTTGGATATCTGGAGGGCAAAGCTCTGCTACATATCCATTCAATTTCGTTGCCAGGCTAGACCTCTCGAGCTCCTCTTCAGGAAGGTTTCCAATTAACTGAAGAAGGATGGTATTTTGCTTGAGTTCAAATTTCTGCAATTTTAGAACAAAACAGGCAATGTTAGTGATTTCATTTAATCTAGTAGAGAAGATCTTTGAATGACCGCAGACTATGTTGCCTAATAATCATGGCAACTCAAATAAAAAGAAGTAAATCAACCACCCAAACGTGTGGACAGGTTTACTAGTGCATAAGAGATTATTTTACCCAACTACTTGCTTTAAAATATGTGGAAGCATTTACGAAAATATTTTTTTCTAAAAATATTAGATTCTTTATCTTAATTAAAAAAAAAAAAATATATATATATATATATATATATATATATATATATATATATATATATTATATATATCCATACAACATACGACAAAATGTTTTTCATAGAAATATTGGTAAGGCATTGAACTACCCATAGAGACCAATTATTTGGAAGGTTATTCCAAGAAAAGAAATGCTAGCATCACACTCTTTTCAACACATTCTATTTTTATTGGTTGAAATTTGAAATTTGTTGAAAATTACAAAAACATTTATGAATCTATATTATTTAATGATTCATGATTTTGTAGTTTTTAATAAATTTCAACCAATAATAGATCATATGCAAAGAAAAGTGTGTTGCTAGTACACCTCATTCTAAGAAATATAGGATTTAGTTTCAAAAAACTCCATCTTAGGACTTATTTTCAATAGTCACTGTAGTTTTAATATCTGCCAATTGACTGTTTCTGTAGGGAACAATTATGTATTTTCGTTTGTATTGTGTGATAATTTTGGGGGCAATGTTATGTGTGTTTGGTAGCTTTCTGGAAAAAGACAATAACTCCATGTTAGGACTTATTTTTTATTAATTTTCTAAAAATTGAACCGATAAGTAAACCAATGAGATACCAGTTTAAGGTTCTATGGTAATTTTGAACCATAGTTGAATCAATAATTAAATAATATTTTTTTAAATTACAGTTAAACTTTGGTCTTATTTCCCCAACTAAGTTACACAAGTTTTAGAGGTAAATGCATTTCTAACTTGCTTCAATTCATTATCAAGTCTTAAAGAATTTTGATACATGTTATTACATTCAACAACGTACACACGCACAAAACACACACACACACACACACGCGTTTCTACAAAGTCAAGTCCAGCATATGTAATCATCAATTTACTTGACCAAAATTATCATCTAGTTAGCAGCAGAACAAGCACTAAACGACATGTTAATCTCTTTGCCCAGTTTTTAAAATCATGGTTTCATTCCTGTATTTAATCAGATGACAGTCTGGTTACCAGTCTAACTAGTCAACTGGCCTGATTGGCCCAGTTTTAGTAACTATGGTTTTACAAATCACTGCAGTTTTAACAAGTGCCATGTGACAGTGTCTATAGCAAACAATTGTGTACTTCCGTTTGATAGGTGTGGTAATCCTTAGGGGACCATTCGGTCATGTTCTTGATAGCTTTTTAAGATAGATAATATTAATATCTGTAGTCTGGTGTTTTTTATATGAATATCTATAGGAGTTTTTGAACTCTGGGAAAGCAAGAAATTGCTGTAATACGAATATCTGCTGTCTGGTGTTTTTAATCCTATTTCCATCTATTTCAAATTGTATTGTCAAACATCAATTGTAAATAAACAATTTTGGAAACAAAACCTGATGCTCTGGCTCTGCAGGGTAAAATGTTCCTAGTTGCAGAATCTGAGTAGTCACAATGCTGCTTCTTGACCTGGTTTGTTCCTGCTCTTTGCTGACAGCAGCCATTCTTGATTCTTCGGTTCCATTGACAAAAATAATAGATCTGCCAGAATATAGGTATTGTTCAGTACATAACACTCAGCGTGAGGTGGATATGGGGAAGATCACATAAATTGTGGTTGGGATCAGTACTCCTCCTACCTGTATTGATTACCCACATCAGGACCTTGACCATACACTTGCCTAGGATCATGGCTTGACCAAAAGACATCCAGGAGTTCCCTAAAACTAATCAGCTGTGGATCATACTCAACCTGCATTGCAATAGTAGCAAACCATAATGGCTCATTCAATTGAGATCATCCAAGCTCAACTTATAATAATAAATTCATGCAGTTATATCAAAATATTAAGATGTAGCATGGATTGATATATTTTCTTCATAAAATAAAATGTAAGAAAGTTTCTTCACGTGTTCAATTTAGAAAATATTATCAATATATAAGTAGTCTACATGAATTCCAGAATCAAGACAACCATGCCATGATAAAGCATGTAACAATATTATCTTTACCAGATCTACAAATAAAACCTTCTCCTTCATGGACAATGGACATAAATGATTCCAAATTATTCAACACATATCACAGTCACTTCCATCCACAACTTAAACAGTCAAACGTTCAGGAGTTCCTCCAAAAAACATGACAATTTCATGTTTCTCAAAAACATAAGGATCTACATACAAATCAAACACAAGTGATGGAAGACACGAGTCTACCTATGGCCTTTGGTGTTTACAGACATGAAAGAAGTACTCAAAATTTCACTCAGGCATTGGTTTAGCACAGACTTACCATGAGCACTCTTTATGCAACAACTCTAGCTACGCAGCCAGAGAAGATGACAATCTAGGCACAAGAAACATACTGCAATACACCTAGGGACAAAAAAAAATAGAACAACCACTTACCAATCCTAACAACCAGACATAATTATGAGATGATTAGGTGTCTGGAATAAATCGAGCAGAGCCAAAATCAAAACTACACCCAAATATCTAGATGATTTTATTGTTTTAAGCTTTTACTTTCTTGATCTAAAGCACTCTGCATCACTATGCGAAAGGACATAAAACTCTGCAAGGTGGGTAACAGCACAACAATGTCTAAAAGAACAGATTTAGCTTATAACTTGTCTAAGGAAAAGAAGACAAGCAGCGGAGAGCCAGAAAACTTATTCCCTGAACTGCTACTCAGGAATAGTTGGAAAATGTGGATAAGGCTGTAAAAATAAAAAAACACCAGTCTAATTGCTGGGTGGGCAAATCCCATTCACACATTATTTGATGAAACGTAATAATCCCAATCGAAAACATCAGTGTAGAGAAAATTTCAGCAGGTCAAACGAACTGAACTCTAATATGATCAGAATAGTATTAAAAAATGACGATTAACATAGTCCTTTCAAACCGATATCACAGTTACTCATCCCATTCCAAGTTCTAGTAAATTAAAATGGGATTTCTATTAGTAAAAACAATTAATTAAAAAATGAACTGATAAAATTTGAACAACTTCACAGTTTGTCACACATACGGATGTCACAAGTTCAACCATTTAGTGATAGTAAGTCCATTTTATCTTATAGTAAAAATCAGAGGCAATTGAGTGAGAAATAAAGAAATTGGGAACCTTGACGGATTCGGCATGGTCACCGATGCTTCGGTATTCGGGGTTGGACTTGGAGCCTCCGGCGTAGCCGACGGTGGTGCGAACAACGCCGGGCAAGCAGCCAAAGACGGCTTCGGATCGCCAGAAGCTTCCGAGGGCGAAGACGGCGACCTGGAAGCGCTGTTGGTCGGTTTGGTCGCGGATGGATGGGGCGACCCGATCCGGAAACCTGATGCAGAGAGCATTGTCGAGGAGGAGGAGGAATAGGACGATTAACATTGAGAAAAGTTGATGATAATGAGAATGGTTATGATTCCTCTCTGAAACTGCCATTTCGCACACTCGCCCAGGCGTGGCGCTTGTCTCCGCTAAAATGCTACCAAGTGCCCTCGGAACGAGTTTCGGTTGTCGTTTTAGGGAGGTGAACGTGCGAACGGCCCAACGAGACAGCCACCCTCCACCAATATGTCGTTTTGTTACGCGCTTTTGATTTCTCTGTATCAAACGACACCAATGCAATGGAGGAGTATGCCGTTTGAGAGACAGACACAGGCAAACTTTCGTATTTAAATTAATGGAGATTATTATCTGCTTTTTATAAAAAGTTAGTACTGAATATCGCGTGACAATTTTTAATTTATTTTAAAAAATATTTCATTAATAATCTTATTTTTTCTATCAGTTAATTTTACTTTAAAAAGTTATTATTGTTAATTTTCTAGTCATTTATACAAATATTATGACCTATGAGAGTGTAAACGTCCTTTATCTAAACTTACTTCTATGTATGCTTTTTTATTATAATGAAAAGTTAAAAGGAAAGAAAGAAAGAAAAATGTGAGACGGTAAACAAGTGTATAAAATGATCCTTAAAAAGAGGATGCCATTTAAATTAATTACTATTACAAAATTAAACGCACAGACTTCTATGGTTTTATCATTCAAGAAATTTGCTGTGTTAATTGTATATGTATATTTATATTTCTCTCACGAAGAACATGACACTGTCATTGTAAATCATTCATAATTATCAATCATCTCTCAATGCATACAACCATCATCATGAAAAGCCTCAATAGACGGATTCAGAAGACGCTAAGCTCATTTCATAATCGAAAGATTGTTAGTCACAAAATTATGATAATTATTTGGTATACTTTCAGAGCAAAACAGTTCTACCTCACTTTCCTCGAAGCAAATTAGGCTCACAAACTTTATTTGTTTCATAATATAAATTAGTAAAACTGTCTTTAAAAATGCAAAAACGCAAATATAAACTCACAAAATCACCATAAAGGTACTCAATAAATCATCACAGCAGACTGAGTGAATTTTCATGATAAACGATGTAAATTATTGATGATTTGGTATAATACTTTTCCATCAATACAACTAACAAAAAATTTGTTTCTATTGGTTGGATCAATTTATTGATTATTATTTTTAGGCAAATCTTCGGAGTAAAATTTCTTTACTTGGCATACAAAAATTTCACCCTACAGTAAGTGTTCTCATTTTATTTTGTTACAACTTTATGACTACTTGCCAACACGACCAGTGATCTTTTTGTCAAGATTTTCACTAGACCATGTTTGCACTTAAGACGGTAAAGCCTGTACAATTTATTAACTTTCTAATTAATAATTGTGCTAATTTTGCAAATGGAAGACTCCTACAGCACGGCAGCCATAGCTCCTCCCTTTTCAGTTAACTTTCTCATGAAACCGAAGAGATATAGATGAAATCCAAAGGCTGCCAATTGCTTAATCAAATGATGAAAGATTACTGACAGAAAACAATCCACAACAGCAATACCGACACAATCTCTACCTAAGTTAACAGTATTAAAAAATCTGGGTTAAGCACATACTTGGGCTTTGCCACCAGGTTCTGCACCACAGCATAATTGAATAAAATGCCAATAGAAGAGCAATGCCAGCCATTATTACAGCCAAACCAGTAGGATCTCGACCCAGTATCACAATAAATTAATTTGCTTATAACCTTTTACGATTATACACGGAAGTCTATGGAAAAGATAAATCTAAATTGAAGATCACCATAGAGAATCTCAAACACTAGTGTGGTTACCATAAATAACCATTACTCCATTACCATGGAGCCAATAGAACAACGACCATGTTCGTATAAATGGCTACATCGATTCGTTCGTCGAATTGCGACCATGAATATTACTGTGAATGTCTATAAATTAAAGTGAACATATAAACGACGTAATATAATTAAATAATCAAAAGAACTAATTAATGTATGAAATGGAAAAAAGGTGGGGAGGATAGATCATTAACTTCGCAAATATAAATGACAGTCTGTGTTGGTTCTCAGGACAGTAACAAAATAGTTTAACAAACAATAAAACTAAAGGAAAAACAAAACTGAAAAACATGCAATCAAATAACAATCCTTAAGCCTTGTCAGCCTTAGCAGCAGTTGCAGCAGCTTGTCCTCTAAGTCGACCAGTCCTCCTAGCAGCAATGAGACCAACCTTTTGTCCAGGAGGAGCATCACGTCTGACAGTACTGGCGTGACCAATATGCTGGTGGTTACCTCCTCCGTGAGGATGCTCAACAGGATTCATAGCAACACCACGAACCTTGGGCCAGCAGTTCCTCTTCACCCTAAACTTGTGGTATGCATTTCCGGCCTTAAGAAGAGGCTTCTCAGTCCTTCCACCACCTGCAACTTGACCAATCATGGCCCTGCAATCACTTGGTACAATCTTTTTTGCACCAGATGGAAGCTTAATCCTGCAATAAAGGAGCAAACACAGTTAAACAACACCAAAATGCCGCCAAATTCAATAACAATCAATAACCCCAAAACCAATTCAACCAAATCCTCAGGCCTTCTTGATAAATTATATATTAAGCAGTGCACTGCAATAAGAAGTGATAGCTATCAACAAAATACAATAGACGATCGAATTGCACCTACTTTATCAATTAAGAGCCTTAACTATACACAATACACAAGCCGCAACAAATGTCCCAGCATTACAATAAAAACTCGAAAATCAGTTCTCCCTTTCCAGATTTCAATGCGATCGAAAAACCAATCAAATATGAGTAAATACCAAATAACAACAATAATAGGCATCAGACCAAGGAGTTTCCCTTTATTCCAAATCAGCCTTATTAATAAATTGTAAACAGACAAAAATTCAAGTCTCAGTTTTCATTGGGAACGAAAAACCAATCAATCATGATTAAATACCAAATAACAATAATATAGGTATCAGAACAAAGGGATCTGAGTCAAACAATTATTTAAAACGTGGGTACTGACCTGGTGGTATCATTATCAGGGTTGTGACTGATAACGATGGCGTAATCCCCGGATGCCCTAGCAAATACCCCGCGGTCACCGACATGGTGCTCAACATTGCAGATTACTGCTCCTTCAGGGATAGAGCGAAGGGGCAAGACATTACCGACTACAAGAGTAGCCTTCTTGCCGCAGTATATGAACTGACCGGTGTAAAGGCCTTCGGCAGCAACGAAGAGCTCGTTTTGCTTCTTGTACCTGAACGGGTGGCGGAAAGTGACCTTCGCCAGAGGGGCACCGCGACCCGGGTCGTGGATGACGTCTGTGACGACGCCCTTGAGATAGCCGTTCCGCTCCCCAAAATCGAGACTGCGGAAGCGAGCCGGACCCTTACGGTGGTGCGTGTGTGACTTGAATACGGAGCCCGCACCCTTACGCTGCGCACGGATCACACGTCCCATTGCGGCTCTGCGGTGTGAAGGAAAACTACCTCTGAAATGGGATGGGGATTCTAGGGTTTATGGATGATGGGTGAAGCTTATATAGGACAGCTTTTTTTTTCTTTCTGGGTTTACCTCTACTTGGGCCGGCCCAAACCCAGCGTCATTTTGATTCTGTCAGGGAAATTCTTTGAACTCGGTTTAGGGTTCCACGAAGGATGCATTTCAAGTTAATTATTAATAATAAAATATTATGTATTATGTTTAAATAATTTAATAAAATCAATATGATATATAATATTAGGCTGGCAACTTTATAAGACAACATTAGGTTGGGCCATATTCTTAATTAAAAAAAAAAAAAAGTTTCAGTGAGAATTATTTTTAATGTTTTATGATTTAGAATGACAATAGATAAAGATTGAATTTTGTTTAGGTTTCAGATATAGAAGTTACCATTTATTATGAACATAAATTGTAAAAGTGCTTTGACAATGCCACTAAAGAATGGCAGCATAGATGAAATAATTATTTTTTGACTTGGTTATGAATTATTAATATTAGAAACAGGTGTTAAAGCGTATGTATGTTCATTTTTATTATAATTTTTTTTAAATATTATTTTGAATTTTATCTTTTTTTTCAACATTTTTATTTGTTTATTTTTTATATTTTTACTATTTTAAAATATTTATTATAATATTTTTATTTTTCTAAGAAAAGCAATTACAAGATAAATCTCTTTTATATATAATTATACATAAATATATTTATCACAAATCATTTTTAATATATTTTATTTTATTATGATGAAAATAATTAAAATACCAAAGATTTTGAGATATTAAAATTTAAAATTTTCTTAATTTCTTAAATATTTTGATTGATTAAATTATTTCATTTTTTCAATTTTAAAATCTTAATTTTTACAACTTCGTTTAATTTTTATTTATTTATATATATATATATATATATATATATATATTAAATAGGTTTGTTTTAAGTGTTTTTTAAATTAAAAATCTAATATTAAACTTTATGAACGTGAAAGAATATATTTTAAATATTTGATACTTCTTTCTATTTTTAAATCATTTTCAATTTTATAGATTTTTTTTCTATCTAGTGTAAGATCATATTCATTATTTTTTATCCATAGTACTGTTACTTTGAAGTGTTCAAAAATAATTAAAATATTAATTTTATAAGACTTTAAATTATTTGTGGCTTATATTAGAATTTGATTTAAAAAAAATAAAATTTATTAATATATATATATATATATATATATATATATATATTAAGTGAAATTATAAATTTGTTTGGTTTTCTTGTTTAATACATTTATTATGTTTAATAAAAGTATTGTTTTATTAATCTCTTTAAATATATATTACAATAATAATGTAAAAGTAATTTAGATAATTATATATAATACTACAAAGTAACCATTAATATTAAATAAATATAATTTATGATTTAAAATATTTTAGTAAAAGATAAGTTGTTTCATTCTCTTTTACATACTTCTTTATTATTTTATATATTTTTATTCTATTAAGTATATCAATATTTTTTTTAGAGGAATCTTCTTGTTTTTTTAGCATTTAATAAAATTTGGTTTAATAAATCAAAATAAAGATTTATCTTATTTAAACTTGTTTATTATTATTGTCATCATGATTTTATTAATAAAATCATAAAATTAGAATAATTTTATATTAAATAGAAAAAATATTCATAGTTGTCAAAAAAAAAATTGAAATTAAGTAATAGGTGATATTAATTTCTTTTGAAGACAAAATTTAAAATTTAAAAATAATAGAGGAAGTTTATTTTATCCACAGTTGCTTACTAACGTAACTACACAGGCTTCTTATATCATTATTACCAGATAGAAAGAACCATGGAAAAGAAATTGGGAGAAAAAAGATAAATGAGAGAGAACAAATAGAAGATAAAAAAATAAATCACTACTAAAATTTAGGAAGGACAAGTATTCTGATATTTGCAGAAATATTTGTAATAGTAATTTTTTTATTTAATAATTATATTGTATAAATTATCTTTTAAAATAATTATATTTTTTTAATTATGACTTATGTATGAATTAAAAGGTTATGCTTGTCCAATGTTCTTTAATGTTATTTTGTTATGTTGTGTATAAATATTTTAATTTTAATATAATATTTAAGAAATTTAAGATTTTAATAATAGTATATTTTTCACAGTGAAACAAATATTTTACATGTAAATATTTATATATCAAATATAAAAATACAATATTGTACACAACTTTCATGAATTTTCGGACAAAATTAGAAAATAATATATGAAAAGACAGATAAATATATGGTTTTAATAATAATAAATATTATTATTATTATAAAAAAATTATGTCTAAAATAATTTTTTAATGACTTATTTTTCTTTAACTAAATTTTATAAATTCTTAGATTTAAATAAGTTAAACTTGTAAAATATGAAAATATATTTAGTTTGATACTCTGACTCAAAACAATTTAAGAAATGGGTTAGATAAAGTTTAAAAAATTGAAACTAAATTAAATTATATATATTTTATCTTTAGTCATTTAAATCATAATTACACGATAAAGTTAATCTATAAATTTATATTTTGTTTTATAAAATAAACATTTTTTTATTTTTTTTATTAAAAAATATATATACATCATAAAATAAAATAAAAATATTTTTATTATTAAATCTAATAAAATTCAAATTAAATTATGAAAGAGAGTTTTTTTTTTTACTTTAAAAGGATAATATATAAACGATTTATTATTATTTTTATGGAAGAAAAATACATGGGAATAAAAGATTATAAAAAAATATTTTTTATTCAATATATTTATTTTTTAGCTAATTTAATTTATGTTATTTCTATCAACAAATTAACAGAAGGATACATATATAATTCGTGGACAATACAATAGACATTTAATGGACAACGGTTTTTTTAAGACAAATATTTTAAAATTTATTTTAACTTTTCCCCTTAAAAAAAACATTTTACTAGGAAACTTGTTATTTTTAAAGAATATTAGTATGCATGGTCGAAACTTAAACCTAAATATTTTGATTTTGAAGTGTATTTTTAATATTAAAAACTAATGAAAAATGTTGTTTTAAGTTTTATTAAGTTGCATTATTTTTATTATTTCATAATAGCCTAAAGCAATCCAGTTAATTCATATTAAAAAAATAAAACAAATTTATTACAACTATTGATTAAGAATATGAATAATAAAAGGAAATGTCAACTATAGTGATAAAAAAATATTAATAATAATAATATTAGTTCCCAGGGAAGAACATGGGTAGGAAACTAAAAGTAACTATAACTACAATAAAAATACCATTCACTAAACAATAATAATAAAAAGATGAAGTGAAGCTTTATATGACAAAAGGAAATTGAAAAACATATCACATGCATTGATAACTAAAACTATTATGCTATTTTGCTATGTATCAAACACCTTTTTTAAACCTGTACCTAAAATTCGTGTTTCTATGATAACAAAAAAGGAATAAAAAAACAATAAGTTGTTTTATGAATCATAAATAAACAATTTGTTTGAATTTTGGAATACATAATTGGTATTTCCAATTTATAAATCCTTATAAATGGTTTAGTTTTTGTATTTGGCATTCATTTATCTATTTTTAATGTGTGTAGTTTTCATGTTAAATTTCATCAAATTATTTTGGAAAACATAAAGTAATTTACATACTTAGTTTTATGTTGATTTCACATGAAATTGGTTAGGATCATATTGAAACAAACATTGATTTAAAAAATTATTACTTGCATTAACACAAATGTTAGTAGGTTCATAGTGATTTGAAACAATATTAATTTAAATAAATAATTACTTGCATTGATTTAAACAAATTTTCTCAAATGTTAATAGGTTAATAGGCTCATAGTGATATAAACACAACATTGATTAAAACAAATCATTACTTGTATTAATTCAATGGTTAGTAAACTGATAGTGATTTGGATGAATTAAGTTATTATTATGTGTTTCTCTCTCTTTTCTTACCTCTTTTATTTTGATAATTTATGAAAACACTTTTTATAGTAAATTAAATTAATTAATACGAAGTTATATAAAAAGTTACGAAATACATCAAATCATATGAATTTGTATAAAAAAATTATAAATTAATTTAAATAATAGAAAAGTACATGAAAAGTTATAACCAAGATAATCTATAAAAACGTTTTCATAATTCCACTAAAGAACGACAGTATATATGAAATTTTTTTAGTGGGTAATGTATTGTTAATATAAACATGTTTATCGCAAATTATTTTTAATATAATTTTGTTTTTTTTATGTTGAAACAAATTTAAATTATAAAGATTTTGAAATGTTTCAATATTTAAATATATGTTTTTATATTTTTTTTGAAATATACTTTATAATTTAAAAAACTAACCTTACACTTTATGAAAATAAAATATATTTAAAATATTTAATATTATCTTTGTTTCTACACGAGTGTGTTTTTTTTTATAATTTTTTGTTGTTTGAATAGATATTTAAATGATAAAGTTTAATATTATATTAATTTTTATTTTCATTATACCAGATGTTTAATATATATATATATATATATATATATATATATATATTTTTTTTTTTTATTAGGACATTAAGTTAATTGTAACGATAATTTATCTAAGTGTATTAGAATGTGTTAATAATAATATTATGGATAATTTACTATTCTTTATCTTTTTATATAATTGTTAATTAATTAAAAGAATTTTTTTATTTAAAAATTATGATGAAAAATATAATAATTATAATTAAAAAATTATAGTTATGTTATATTAAATAAAAAAAATTTCACATGATTATAAAATAATATTTTTTAAGTTAAGATTATATATAAAATAATAATAAAATTACAAGTAATATTTAAAAAAAAATCACCTTTATTTATTTAAATAATATTTTATATTTCAATTATTTTAGTTTTTG